ATAAGCTATGGACTGAAAAAAAGAGTTCAAATATCTGTGAATATAATGTAATCATATGGCCATTTATGGCAATCTATTATCACATTAATTCATTCAGTGTGAGAACAGACAATGCCCAGTACATGATTTCGAGGTGCGTTGTTGCTTCAATCATTTTAAAAAAAAAATAATAATCATTTATGCGCTGGCTCCAACAACTGTTTCAGGGGGCGCTAGTCTCACTGTCGCACTTCCACAGATGTCCAAAAAAGACCCTGCAATTTTATTTAAATTCGGTCTTTTGGGGTTTTCCTCAAAGTCAGCGGTTCTCAACCAGTGGGTCACGAATGACCCTTACACAAGGGTCGCTTCAGACCATCGGAAAACACATATTTATGAAGTAGCAACGAAAATAATTTTACGGTTTTACATCATGAGTAACTGCATTAAAGGGTCGTGGCACTAGGAGGGTTGAGAACCACTAATCTAAGTGGGTGATGCTTTGGTCGTTCGATAACACGTGACTCTCCAGCATTGTCTGATTCACCAAAAGGCAAAGTGGGCAAATGCCTACGTAGAAAAATGCCTAAGTGGGCGAATGCCTAAGTAGGCGAATGTTAATACTTATACAGAAGTTTGCTCAGAAACCCAGTTTGTTTTTTAATGTTTCTTCACACAACCTTGCATACCCCATTGCTTTGAGAACCACTCGAGTATGCTAATATAAGACCTACCAGTCATTGAATAGTCTGTAAGACCCGAAGTCTTGTTGTTGTTTTTAGCGGTGGGTACTGAGAGATGACGTCGCTAATTCTAAATCTTCGTGGGGCATCGTTCCGAATTTGTTATCAGGAGGCGATAAAGTTTGTTTGATTTAAGGTAACACTAGTTAGCTTTAAATGTAGCCAGAATGTAATAAATAGCCAGCTTGAAATATTGCCAGAACATAATAAATAGCCAGCGTTAAATATAGCCAGAATGTAATAAAAAGCAAGCTTGAAATATAGCCAGAATGTAATAAATAGCTAGCTTTAAATATAGCCAGAATGTAGTAAATAGCTAGCTTTAAATATAGCCAGAATGTAACAAATAGCTAGCTCTAAATATAGCCAGAATGTAATAAATAGCTAGCTTTAAATATAGCCAGAATATAATAAATAGCTAGCTCTAAATATAGCAAGAATGTAACAAATAGCTAGCTCTAAATATAACCAGAATGCAATAAATAGCTAGCTCTAAATATAGCAAGAATGTAACAAATAGCTAGCTCTAAATATAACCAGAATGTAATAAATAGCCAGCTTTAAATATAGCAAGAATGTAATAAATAGCCAGCTTTAAATATAGCCAGAATGTAATAAATAGCCAGCTTTAAATATAACCAGAATTAAATAAATAGCCAGCTTTAAATATAGCAAGAATGTAATAAATAGCTAGCTTTAAATATAGCCAGAATGTAGTAAATAGCTAGCTTTAAATATAGCCAGAATGTAACAAATAGCTAGCTCTAAATATTGCCAGAATGTAATAAATAGCTAGCTCTAAATAAAGCCAGAATGTAATTAATAGCTAGCTCTAAATATAACCAGAATGTAACAAATAGCTAGCTCTAAATATAACCAGAATGTAACAAATAGCTAGCTCTAAATATAGCCAGAATGTAGTAAATAGCTAGCTTTAAATATAGCCAGAATGTAACAAATAGCTAGCTCTAAATATAGCCAGAATGTAATAAATAGCTAGCTTTAATTATATCCAGAATGTAACAAATAGCTAGCTCTAAATATAGCCAGAATGTAATAAATAGCTAGCTCTAAATATAACCAGAATGTAATAAATAGCTAGCTTTAAATATAGCAAGAATGTAACAAATAGCTAGCTCTAAATATAACCAGAATGTAATAAATAGCCAGCTTTAAATATAGCAAGAATGTAATAAATAGCCAGCTTTAAATATAGCCAGAATGTAATAAATAGCAAGCTTTAAATATAACCAGAATGTAATAAATAGCCAGCTTTAAATATAGCAAGAATGTAATAAATAGCTAGCTCTAAATATAACCAGAATGTAATAAATAGCTAGCTTTAAATATAGCAAGAATGTAACAAATAGCTAGCTCTAAATATAACCAGAATGTAATAAATAGCCAGCTTTAAATATAGCAAGAATGTAATAAATAGCCAGCTTTAAATATAGCCAGAATGTAATAAATAGCCAGCTTTAAATATAACCAGAATGTAATAAATAGCCAGCTTTAAATATAGCCAGAATGTAATAAATAGCCAGCTTTAAATATAGCCAGAATGTAGTAAATAGCCAGCTTTAAATATAGCAAGAATGTAATAAATAGCTAGCTTTAAATATAACCAGAATGTAATAAATAGGCAGCTTTAAATATAGCAATAATGTAATAAATAGCCAGCTTTAAATATAACCAGAATGTAATAAATAGCCAGCTTTAAATATAGCAAGAATGTAATAAATAGCCAGCTTTAAATATAGCAAGAATGTAATAAATAGCCAGCTTTAAATATGGCAAGAATGCAATAAATAGCCAGCTTTAAATATAGCCAGAATGTAATAAATAGCTAGCTTTAAATATAGCCAGAATGTTATAAATAGCCAGCTTTAATTATAACCAGAATGTAATAAATAGCCAGCTTTAAATATAACCAGAATGTAATAAATAGCCAGCTTTAAATATAGCCAGAATGTAATAAATAGCCAGCTTTAAATATGGCAAGAATGTAATAAATAGCCAGCTTTAAATATAGCCAGAATGTAATAAATAGCTAGCTCTAAATAAAGCCAGAATGTAATAAATAGCCAGCTTTAAATATAGCCAGAATGTAATAAATAGCCAGCTTTAAATATAGCAAGAATGTAATCATGTTCCAAACACAATATTTGTCCACCAGAGCCACTAGGGTCGTAGATAAGACTTACGCCAGGCAGTGGATTATCATTTTATTGGATGTGGGGGGGGGTCAAGTAGGGGTCATTTTCTCCTGTTCTAGGCGCATTCTTCTATTATTTTTTTTAATGTTTAAAAAATAATTGATCGAACGGAAGTTGGTCCAATTTTTTTTTTCAATTCACACGATCACATTTTCGTCAAATTTCTTTTTGAACGCACTATACAACGCAAATTACGTCACGCTAATGGGGGAAGGGGGGGGGTGTCGAGAATTTGTGATACTTTGTGACAGGGGGAGGGGGGTCAAAAAATGTGTGACATCACGATTTTTATTTTTTATTTTCCTTCATAATTAAACTGTTGTGGCCATTTTTCATTCGGCTTGTGGGTGACCTCGTTGTTTCACGTCACAGTTTTCTAATAATACTACATCTTACCCATTGTGGGGAAAATGTTAAAGAATATAATAAAATCTTAGTTCATTTATGAAAATTTTATGTATGTTTTGATTTTTTTAGGTGTGACGTGACCCTAAAGGGGTGGGGGAGGGAGTAAAGAATGTGTGACCATAGGGCAGGGGTGGTCCAATAAAAGTCATTTTTTTTGCGTGACGTAATTTGCGAACTACCCCTTGGGTACCACTGATGCGGGTCAAGATGTTATTTCTAGTCTGACTTCAGATGTCTGAGTGGACAGGAGCTTCCTGTTTGATTCTGTCCACGCCAGTCCCTGGCGAGCACATGGAACCGATATACATGTATAAGGTTAATATTTAAGTTAGATTTGATGATAAGGTAAAACAAAAATTAGATTAGCGCGTCTTCAAACTACGGCCAGATCTGGTCCACCAGGGGGTCCTTAACCTGGTCCCCTTAGACGCTGCATGGCTGCCCTGTAGGCATTAACACTTACCATCTCGTTAGTCAAAAGCAGGCGCACACTTTTCTAAAAAAAAAAAAAAAGAACAAAAACAGGATACACGAAAATAACGAACAGTAGCCACGAGAAATATGACTAGGGCTTAACCGGTAGCTTAACCGGTAGCTTAACCGGTAGCTTAACCGGTAGCCGTTTTTTTAAAACTGGGTCCGGGTATTTTGAGAAATAGACCTACAGATGTCCTACGCCCTACCTGCCAGCCTTTAAACAATAGGCCTACAGACAGTCCTACACCCTACCTGCCAGCCTTTAAACACTACTCATGCAGACAGTCCTACGCCCTACCTGCCAGCCTTTAAACACTACTCATGCAGACAGTCCTACGCCCTACCTGCCAGCCTTTAAACAATAGTCATGCAGACAGTCCTACACCCTACCTGCCAGCCTTTAAACAATACTCATGCAGACAGTCCTACGCCCTACCTGCCAGCCTTTAAACACTTTTCCTATAGGCAGTCCTACGCCCTACCTGCCAGCCTTTAAACACTTTTCCTATAGGCAGTCCTACGCCCTACCTGCCGACCTTTAAACAATAGTCCTACCTGTAGCTCTTCATTGATTAATATAATAGTCTCTCCCACGTAAATATTTTTTTTACCTGAGGCCACACGTGACATGTTTTAAATAAAATCAGTACATTTATATATAAACATGATAAGTTGGGGGCCGGGGGGGGGGGATGTTTCTAAAATGAAGCAGGACACACCGGAAGTAACATTTATATAAGAGATACTGACAATAGCGACAATAAAAATAATATAAACTGTAGAAAACAATAGAAACAAAACTATGTATATTAACGTACTCAACACTCAAACCGCATAAAAAGCTTTACACCAATCAAAATCTACATCAATTAAATTGTGTATTTCAGACTGTTTGTGTTTGTCTAGAACTTTCGCCAAGGTGCTTTTCCTTTTGTTATTGACGTGTGCTGCGGTGGTGTTCTTCTTGACTCAGTATTCCGGCCATGTTGACCTCACCGGCAACTACAGGCAGACGATCAGTAACTTCTGGAAGAGTGAAGCGGGCGACGCAGGGATCTCACGGTTAGAGAGTACGGCGGGAAATAGCACGGCGCGTGACGATGACGCCATCAGCTCACTGCAGTGCGTGTTTCCCCACGCCAATCCTTTCGACAAAGACGTCATGGCAATGGCCGGGCTCGACAAGAGCACCCTGCAGTGCGTTGGTCATTCACCTGATCTGACCTTCTTGGACAAAGACAAACTCGTCGTCAACGCAACTTTGATCAAATATGGACTCCCCACGTCGACCAGCGTGAGGTGTCGGTTTCGCGACGTGTTGCGGAATCGATTCAGTGATGCGGACGTCACGTTCGGTAACTGGAGCGGCACGTTCAACGAATCCGCTCGACTCCCGAAAAGCGCCGAATTTATTCACGTGACCTGCCACGACGGCCACGACGCGATCATTTCAAACAGCTACCACGAGCTGATCCCCAAGCGCGAAGAACGGAACGAGCTGTACTCGATACTTTCAAAGAAACGCCAAACACGGGCGTCGCCCAAAGAGACCCTGAGTGTCATCATGCTCGGATTCGACGGCGTGTCGAGGTATCAGTTTTTGAGAGCGATGCCGAGAACGTACCGATACTTAATCGACGGTCTGAACTCTTTCGACATGACGATGCACACCCAGGTTGGGAAAGACACGTTTGAAAACTTCCTCTGCCTGTTCACGGGCGAGCCCATCGCCGAGACGACGACCTGGTGGGACTTCGCCAGGTACACGGACGCCTTCGATTTGGTCTGGCGGTCGTTTGAGAACGCGGGTTACCGCACCCTGTACACGGAGGATCAGCCGAGCGGCGGGGCATTCCATTACCAGAAGAAGGGCTTCATGTCCGCCCCGGCGTCATACTACAGCCGACCAATCACGATGGCCATTCAAAATGACCCGGAAATATGGCGGGCTGGGAAACACTGTGTCGGGAACAAGCCCGAGTTGATTCACCACATGGACTACGTGAAGCGTTTTTTCGACACGTTCCCCGACAGCCCGCTTTTCGCGTTCGCTTTTCTGTCCAAACTGACCCATGACGACATGACTGATTTGAAAATGGCGGATGAACATTTGCTGAACGTTTACAGAGAGTTTTTTCGACTCGGCCACCTGAACAGGAGCCTCCTGATAACGTACTCCGATCACGGGCCCCGCGTCGGTCGCATACGCTCGAGTTTTAACGGCATGGTGGAGAGCCGCACCCCGTACGCCATTTTCACTTTCCCGAAATGGTTTCTAGAAAAATACCCGGATGCTGCAAGAAATTTACGAACCAACACTCGACGACTGACGACGCACTTTGAGACACACGCGACGTTACAGGATCTGATGTACTTTGAGAGCGGCGGGGAAATCCCGATCAAACCCAGCAAGCATGGCGTAAGCCTCTTTCGGGAAATACCGAAAAACAGAACCTGCCAGGATGTTCCGATACCGCGCGAATTTTGTCTTTGCAACCAGCGGACGATAAAGGCGATTGACGTCAATTCGAGCATCTCAAAAAATTTAGCCGATCAAGTCATGGCTGCGATATCACGAAAAATCAACAAGACTCATTGCTCGGATCTGAAAATCGATAAAATCCTTCAAGTTTTGAATATCGATCTAACGGAGGTTCTCTCAAAAGAGAGCAAAAGCAAGATGTTGTTTAAGGTGAGGCTCCAGACGGTGCCCGGGAAAGGCATCTTCGAGGCCATGGTCTTCGTGGCAAGTGGCAAATTCGAATCTTTCGCAAAAACAGGCAACCTGGGCAGTGTTGATATTGGTGACGTCATCGAAAGACTTAACATGTACCGGGGTCAGGCCGAATGCGTCCATGACGCTGACCAGAGATTGTTTTGTTACTGCAAGGCTCCTTTTGAAAAGGACAAGGAGTAATAGGCTAATTAGTATGACATAGACCAGGAGTTCTCAAACGTTTGGAACGATGTATCGCTTTTATAAAAAAAAATTCATGTATTTCGTAATGTCATAATGTTGTCTTCCTGTCACATCTTAGTGTACCAATTGAAGCAATGTGATGCACAGCTGGTGATTTATTTATCGAAGACTCAGAAAGACTGAAATAAAAACAAATGTCTCTACAGAGGGCGTATTGGTGGACTCTGATAAAGAGGCCAAGGAACCTGACTGATATTCTCTCTCTGGTGTGGAAATCACTTTAAATATTCACCCGGAAAGTTTAAACAATATTGTGTAGTAAATTAGTAATATCAATTTGCGTTTGTATTGGGATTTGGGGGGGGGGGGAGTTACCGGAGCTATACATTGCACTGGGTACCATTGGCCTTGGTAAATAGTAATATCAATTTGCGTTTGTATTGGGATTTGGGGGGGGGGGAGTTACCGGAGCTATACATTGCACTGGGTACCATTGGCCTTGGAATGGTCCCGACCGCTCTACGACTCATTAGTGCGCAATGCGTTATTTAAGTTCGTATAATTAGATTTTTGTGATTTTAGGAGCTCACTGTGGTCCGTGATCAGTGAAGTAGCCAAGGTTAATGCCGCCCTAGGCGGGTTAAAATTTTTGGCGCCCCACTTCAAAACAAAAAACTCCCCAGATGGCCGAAAATGGTGTATCAACAACACGTACAAAAGTGCCGCCCGGACCACCACCTCGACCCCCCCCCTTTTTTTTTTCCTACGCCACTGAATTTAATTGCATGTGACATGTGAACAACCAGGGGTCATGCTAACCCAGGTATGTTGCTTGTGAACCACCAGGGGTCATGCTGAATAAGTAAATGTTGCCTTTGTCTACCTGTACCATATATTTTTGTAATGATACATTTACCAATATTTATCGCTGCACCTGATTCCTTTCACTATAAAAGTTAACGGAATAAAACAAAAATGATCCACAAAATCTACGATGACACCTAATAATATATTTGATAATATCAGAACAGCCACACAATAAATCTATCTAAGGTTACGTTGAGTTACAGGTTAAAACATACTTTCCAAACGGCTGCCCTCCATGTCAATTTATAGCAACAAAGTTTTTGAAACATAAATAAAAATAAAAACATTTAATACGTATTTGCGTTGAAATATCTTACAAATGACGTCATCGTTCAGTCATTTCATGTGCCTGCCCTGCAAATTTCGTACAAATAGAGAGAGGCCTTGTTCACTTGTTACAAGTGGCAGCTCTGTAGGCTGTATTAGGTCATTAGAAACTTGTCGGGCGCGAAAGTCACGGCGACTTGAATTGCGACAATATCAATCATGTCAGGGAAATTTTAAACAAGGGGTGCAAGGAGACAAACAAATGCATGTTGTTCAGGGATCCACAGCGCTCACAGGAGCATTAAGAAAAAAAAAATGTTCGTCTACAATAATGCTTCTCTATGGGGGAGGGGGGGAGGGGGAGAGAAAAGGGAGGGGGGTGGTACCAAGTTCAACCCGTGTTTATTGTACTCAGATCCCAGGAGCCGAGTTGTTTTGTTTTGAAATTGCTTTTTACAAAAAACAAAAAAAAAAATCTATACACGAAGCAGTGTAAGCTATGTTAGCTTTCTTTCAAGTGTCAGGGTTAGAAGAACTAAATATAATATATACTATGATTTAAAGATTAATACGTGGGTTCAAAGGTTGTGACACCCCCCCCCCCCCCAAAAAGGGAGTTCTTTCAGGGGGATTTTTTTTTTTTCAAATATACCGGCACATAAAATATGTATTAGAATTTCAAGGAAATTCTTTAAGTGGAAACTCCATACCGATTGATAAATCCATTTTCAGAATCTAAGAGAGTTGGTGTGGTGGGGGAAGTACTATTTTAAATTAGAGAAATTGGCCACTGCCTCACACATCTTCGATAGTGACCTCGATAAGCCATGATTCTATACCTACTTCCTAAAATACACAAGTACGGTAACCCTGACAGACCCATTGTCTCAGCATGCTCTTGCCTCACCGAACATATCTCGGAATTCTTTGATGGAGTTTTTCGTAGCCTCACTGCCAACTTACACTAAGGAAACCAACCATGTTTTACAAACCTTCGAATCTTTTAAAGTCCCTCCTGAAACGAAAGATCATCTTTTTCTTCTTGATGTATGTTTTCTATCCACTTCTATATCCAGCTCTGATGGTCTCTTAGCTCTCAAAGTCTTTCTCGAGACTTATCCCCACCCATCAATACCCACCAACACCCTCCTCCGATTGGCTGAACTAGTCCTCACCCTCAATTCGTTTGATTTTGGTGGGCAATTCTTCGACCACATCAATGTTTGCTATGGGGACTAAAATCGGACCCAGCTATGCCTGCCTGTTCATGGGGTATTTCGAGCACATGGTTGAAAGCAACTATGCTGGACGCCTCCCTGAATTCTATAAGAGATACATTGATGATGGTATAGGGTTCACCACAATGGAGAGGAGTGAACTTGACCTTTTCATGAACTTTCTAGGCTCCTTTCACCCTTCCATTAAATTCTCATATCTTGTCTCTGAGACCTCAGTCAACTTTTTGGACATACAGTCACTCTTCGCAAAGACAGCCTACTCACCTCCGCTTACTTTAAACCTACTGACAGCCACAACTATCTATTCTACTTTCCCACTTACCCTAAATCCTGTAAAGACTCTATTTCTTTAAAAAAAAAACACAATTCTTTTGCTGCCCCCTCGGACACTACGTTACAGCTAAGTGCTATATTTTTAATACATTCTATTGTTTTTTTTCTGTTGTTTGTTCGCTGACGAAGGCTTTCCGACGATACGTTCGTTGTTTTGTTGCGTTCCTTTTTTTCATGTTTAACCTTTCTTTGTTTTACTTATTACCTATTTTACTAAGCTGATTGTAGTCTCTCCCTTATTACCCCAATGAGCTGTAACAGGATCAGAGCATGACCCCAGGTAATACAGTTTCCTGATTCCTGCATTACCCCAGGTTAATAGAGTTTCATGATCCCTGTTTAACCCAACGGACTAGAGTTTCCTGATCCCTACATCACCCCAGGTTTATATACCATAATGAATCATGATTTTCCCAGGTTGATTATAACTTCACAACTTGAGTCTTGACCACAGAACCAGTCTGGCCAAACTTGTGTCATCTGATTCTACTGACAATTAAACTATCATTTGACTTAAGGTCAAACTCTAACGTGCTACACTTGTGCTACACTTGTGCTACACTTGCGCTACACTTGCGCTACACTTGTGCTACACTTGCGCTACACTTGCGCTACACTTGTGCTACACTTGCGCTACACTTGTGCTACACTTGCGCTACACTTGTGCTACACTTGCGCTACACTTGTGCTACACTTGCACTAAACTTGTGCTACACTTGTGCTACACTTGTGCTACACTTGCACTACACTTGCGCATTTCTGGAACTCCTATTTCCATATTTTACCTGTGACTGGAATTCATATTCCCATTTTTTTTATAATTACCTAAATTAATTTCATCACAGCTAACTCCTCATCATTTTCTTTAAAAAAAAGTTTAAAACTTATTTGAGATACAACAAATAAATTTTAAGGACAAAAGCAAAGCCAATTTTTATGATATATTTTCTGTTGTTTAATTCGTTGAAACATTTTGGCATGAGACAAGTAAGTCAACTTATTTTATGTAGACATTTGTTTATTTTATATAAAAGTCTGGTATGAAGCATGTACACATGTGGAAATTAGTGAGGTCAATCCACTCACTACATGAACACATGTCAATAGTGAGGTCAATCTTTCACTATATGTACATGTCAATGGCGAGGTCAATCAGTAAAATTTAATGAAGTATGTATTATGTACACTTTTCAGTATTGAGGTAAATCACTCAATATATGTACACATGCCATGATACGCATACATATCAATAATGATGTCAATACTATACGAGACACCACGTGATCAATCACAATACATGCAGATAATTATCATTACATATGTTTAAATCGGAACAGTTCAGTTCTAATGCATTACATTACATGCAACAATTGATTGAAATAACATAGATTTTGTAAGGGGTCAAAGCTAATCAATCATCAATGCAATACTAAACATGGCAGAATTAATTTGACGGTGGCTTTAAGACTCATGCACTTTGAGATTTCATTTGAGGCCGTTAGTGACAATAATTATTCAATTAAATTTAGATAAAAACTGAGCTGCTGGTAATGAAATTAAAATGGTAGGCTATTTTCCACATTTTATTATTTTGCTGTTTCATGGCTTTAACAAAATCTATTATTTTTACAAGGGACTGTTGTCTTATTAAATACTAGACCCAGTGCCCTCTTGCGGCATGGCTACAGTTGGCATTTTCCCAGGGCATCAGACTTCTAGGGACATCAAATTACCCATATTGCCAGTGGGAAGCAGTTCCCAAGTTTTTATTAACTAGACTAGTTTTTTTTTTTTTTTTTCAATTTTAAAATAAATTAAATTTTTTGGGATACCATTTTAAGAAAAATGGGTCTATTTAAAACATAAATCCAGGTTTTGTCTGAAAGAAACACATGGGCATCCTGGGCCCCAATGAAAGAACCACTGGTCTTTAAGCATGGGCACTCTGGGCCTCCATGAAAGAACCACTGGTCATAACACATGGGCCCAAAAGCTTTTTCTTACATTACTTTAAAGATTAGAGAGAAAGAGGGGGGGGCCTCAATACATTACTTTGCCCAGGGGTTCTCAGTTACTTACTTAGGCCACCCCCCCATTCAGATGACCCTGACTAGAACTAGAACAAATATATCTTACCACCTGGCTTTGTTCTTAGAACAGTCTATTGATTACAAAAACTATTCATCTATGGCATTTTCTTATTGAAATTCATTCTAAAGTTACATTTTTAAAAGAAATTTTAAACAGTAATTTATACCAGTTGAAAATAATAATTTAACAAATAAACTGAGTGGCACTTAAAATATTAAATAGTAACTTGTATCATGAAAAAAAATGTAAGTTTATATTTTTACGAGACATCCAATGATGTTGTTTGGATTTTAAACAATTATAATGCATAGTTTGATTGACAACAATCACAATTAAAAACAACAAAGTCAACATCTTTGGGGCATCAAATAACGTTAATTTAAACAAAACAAATTGTAAAAAAAATGTAATCAAATCACTTGCATTTCTGATATGTTGTATGCATGATGGATTACCTCATTCTGCTGCGATAAAGAGTTGAAGTTTATTAGGGAATGTTCCAGAGAGCAATTTTCATGTCATGGAATGTTCACTTTGGAATGTTACGAAATTTGATGAGGTGACAGAGTAGAATAACAAATAACATGCTATCAAAATCAATAAGAATAACAAATAGTGGAGCAAATCTTGTAAGTCAGAGTCACTCTTTTACCTGTTGACACTAGGAACATATAGAAATACTCTGTTCTTATGTCATCACCTTCAGCCCACCATGACTAAGATAAACTTTAAAAAAAAAAAAAAAAAAATTCACTGGGGGTTGCAGGGGGTTTGTTTAGTGGTGTGTGCTCACAAAATTCTTGCATAGTTCTAAAAATAAACTTTTATTTAAAACAAATAACTAGCATGCTGCCCAGTTTGAAGACTTTTAACATTGGGAACAATTGTGCAGCTGAGATGGGGACCTATGACAAGTCTGTCAATGGTGACAAGACAAATATGGTAAGTTGACATGCCGTGACATTTAGATTCAAGTTAAGATTTCTGCATTCATCAAAATCTCCATAGTGAAACTTTTCAGTTGAATTAAAATATCTATCAAAGGACAATGTTTAAAAAAAAAATAATGTATAATTTTAAATCAAATCATCAATTATTATATACTGTACCCATTATAGACCAGTGACCTCTTTTTGTGCTTTTATTAATTACCTTTCCAATTTTAAATTTAAATCCAATTTAAACTTAATGCATTACAAAAGTCATGCAAACACCCACAAAACATATCCATAAAATTTCAAACTCTATTGTGTGAAAATTATTGTAAAATGTCTAACATTGAATTCGGTAACGAGGCATCTTGTGAAATGATAATTTACAATTTATATAATATTTAATGAATCATAAATATTTATACAGAGTTATTTATAACTTAATACAATGTAAATAAAATCATGTCTAAGTTCAAAACAATTTCTGGGCATTAATCTAATTCTATGTGAACGTCTATTTTTCAGTGTACTTCTAAATAAAGGCAATCTATACACTCATCACATTCATCAACAACAATATTATGACAATAAATAATATCACAATCCCATGTACAGAACACAATTCATTGTTTGGTATCCAATGAAGCTTTCCTGGTGGATCTTTCAAAAAGTTTCTTTGATCCTCCAGCAGCCATGAAACAAAAAGAAAAAACAAGCAACAACAAATAAAAAAAAAATAAAAAAAATAACATTCCTCACTGTCAAAACTAGTAGTTTTTTTTTAGCTAACACTTTGATGAATGTAGGACAACATTGGGTGGCACTCTTCCCTTATAAACGTTTTGGGTGGGTAAAGGTTCTGATGTCAGAGACTTATCTCCTTGATTATGTGAGTTTCCTTGGGTGGGAGGGTAACCCGAGCCCACAGTTACCTTTCCCTGGCCCAAGTTTTGAACTGGGTTAACATTCCCTCCATTGGGTAGGTAGCTTGTGACGAAACGTCTAGAACCAGGATAGCTTGGACCTGAATACGAGCCAGGCTTTTTAAACTTGGAATCATACATACTGCTCTGGGCAGCTGCCAGTTTGGTTCTATATTCAGCGTCTCCATTTTCTGAATCCCAATTACTGGTTGGTTCGTGGATTGAGTAGCTGGACTCCTCAGCAGACGTCACACTTTTTTTGAACCCACCGCCGGTCTCTGAAATACTTGTATGAGGATGAGCTGAGCCTGTGTAAGGCTCAATATAACTTTGACCGGTCTTTTGAGATTGGGAGTAGCTTCTTGTTTTGTCGCCCACGCTGTGCACAAGCGAAGAATGGCCCATGTTTTTACCACCAGCTCTTATGGAACCGGGTGGTGGCCCATGGGATCGAGAGATTCGCTCCAGGCTGTTGTTACTTGACATGGGAGATTTCTGATCCCTGGATTTAGGGGAATCCCTTGAACCCAGGGGTCTGTAGATTGTCGAAAGGTTGGACGAGGACGTGGAGTACTGACTGCTGATGCTGTTGCTGCTCTCGGGGCGGGACTGGAGGGCGTTGGTCCTCACTAGTGGAGTAACAGGGGGGCTCAGAGATTGTGTTGTCTGGGGATATTTTCTTGTTACAGCCAGTCTGGATACGCTTGACGTAGCAGTAGGTCGAGGCGTTTGGTTAGGGAATAAAACATTGGATAATGGGTTTGGACTTGAGCGTTCGGCTTCTGGGCCCGCCTCGTCATTTGATGTCCTGCTAAATGGAGAGGAGGACCCCGAGGAATATGTAAAAGATGGAGTTCTGTTGACAAATTCTTGTGTGTACAAGCCCTTATCCTGACTGACAGGGCTTGGGGGAGGGACTGACTGAACACACCCTTGACCTCTCAAGCCGCCGATTTCTGAATGGTAACCGCTGGAGACGGAGGATTGTATGTTGCTCTCAGCCCCCTCACTGTTGTCCGATGAAATACTGTTCTCACCACTGCCAACAGCCCCCGGCCCAGCCACAACATGAGACATCCGAGGAGGTATGAACGGAGAAAGAATCGCAGGCTTCTCCAGAAGTGGTGACCCTCTGGATAAATTAGGACTTGGAGATTTCGGCCCGCCTTGTGGGAAAAGTGCGCTGTAAGCTGACTGAGAGGGTCTGTTGACGGGTTTCTTGGGAGGAAGCTGGGATGAGACAACAGAGTGTGAGAATCCGCCACTGCCTCGAGAGTCTATAGAGTCCACATTTACTGGAACCCTGCTCATGTTGTGCTGACTAGATGGTCCAGGGGTTCTCAGGTTAGAGCTTTTTAAATCCCTGAAATGTCTCTGACCGGTGCTGTCACTGTCGCTGACATCTGATGAAGTTGAGATGGAGGGAGCCTTTGTTGGGGACAATTTTCTTGGGGCTGGCATGGGTGCACCAAGATTTCGTCCCTCCCTTAGCTTACGGCTCGCTTCTGCAGAATGTGCGATGCTCTGTCTCTGCATCTGTTCCACAGCAGTTCTTTGGCTGGATACATCAGCTAAAACTTTGAAAACCACACTGGGATCACTGGAACTATCAGACGTTCTCAAGCCTTGCTCATAGTTTGTTGAACTGGCTGCAGATGAGGAAACTTCCACTGAATTTAGTGGAGATCTCAGGGGGCCAGTCTGTATTTGTTGGTGATTCAGTAGTTCAAAATGATCTCTCAGCTGGGATGCCGTTTTGTTGGCGTTTTGGTGATTGACCCCGAGGTCAGGTTTTCTAAAGTCTGTGACCGCGGTGTCTGAGTAAGACAACCTGTGTTGTAAATCTGTTTTGCTTTCTGTTGAGGTGTCACTGGGTGCTGGTGAATGTGAACTCAGTGGGTCAAAGGATATTTCCTGACTGATGAGCTTTTCGGCGAAAGTAACAGACTTTGTGATGCTTTCCTCCCCTTGGCTGCGCAGAGAGCGCGACGACCGTGTTGAGGATCTCGTCCCATCAAATTTATTCCTTGTTTCCTCATCTTTAAGTGAATGCGTTCCGACCTTGTAAAAGCTGCCGCTGCCATCAGGCCTCGGGCTGCTGCCACCGGAGGAGTGATCTCGATGCATATCTTCCTGGAAAGTCAGTTCTCCTCCGGCTACCCTGTTGCCGCCTGTTGACTCTGATGACCCTGACCTTTGGCTGGCACTAGAGCTGTAAGGACCGGATCCATACATGGTGCGAATTCTGGCCTGGTGTGAGAGCTGCACAGCAGGATCAAGCTGCGGAGACTGGGGAGATCGGGGCGAGGCTGATGGGGTGGAATGTTCAGAGGTGCTGGAGCAGGAAAATGAAGCGTCCAACTGGCGGGCTGAAAGGCTGCCCTGCGGAGTTGATATTATAACACGGGAAATGAGCAGATCAGGAAATGAATCATTTTTAAACATTTTAAAAATGTTTACCTCAAATGCAAGTTTTACGGTAAAAAAAATCATAAGGAAAATTAAAACAAAAATCCAAAATAATGGAACAATTTATTTTAATTGATTGTTTAAGTATCCTTTCAATTATTGTATTTTAAATATTACACGTAATCAAAGCCCAAGTGCATTTTGCTATCAAAACACAAATATTATTTATTACACTATTTACCTGCAACATTAGAGAGTTCCGATGGGCAGTTTTAACTTTCTCCATCTCGGCTGGGTTGAAGATTGAGCGTTTCCCCCTGGAGTGAGGGGACAGCGGAGGGGTCACCGACGACTTGGAGAATGTCGAGGAGGATGGACCAGACTGGGAGGAAGACAGACTCTCCATGCTGCTGGAGGAATCCAGATGGAGAGTCCTTGGTGCCTCTTGTGTGTCTGAACAAATGTGAAAATAATCTCATGAATAATCATCAGTTAAAAATAATCTCATGAACAAACATCTTTTAAAATAACATCCTGAATAATCATCATTTAAAAATAATCTCATGAATTATCATCATTTAAAAATAACCTCAATAATTTTATCATTATGGAATTCAGAATAAAACTGAAAGTGATGCTAATTTTGTTTTATGCAAGCCGATATGTTGCGGTAATTAGCGGGAAATTAGGATATGAAAATGTTGTTTAGGATGTTAACTAGTATCCCAAATATCAATGTGTGTTGATTTACAAGCTTCGGGATACATACATTTATTTCAATTTAAAGCATTATCACAAATCATACAGTATTATAACTAAAACTCACCGAATACAGAGACCAATGCCTGAAGGGCAAACTGCAGATGGCGTCTGACGGCTTGTTTGCTGAGTCGTAGCGTAACGTTGTCACACCCGACATCCACCAGGTCTAGCCCTGAGGGGATAAGTGCATACAACGTAACCACCAATGTTCTCGGCATGTCATTCCAAGTTTTAATATGATAAAACCTTGAACTTTTCATTTCATCAAATTAAGCTAAAGGCAATTTAATACCTGTGGACCCAACTTCACCAGACCAGAAACCAGGTTACAACAGGACCACCAAATACATCCCCGATTTCTCTTTAAATTTGTAATAAACTTGCATTAGTTGAAAACATTATATGATTCTTAACTTTCCGAACTATTCAAAAAATTGTTCTTTCTTTTATGATTATCTAGGCAGAGTGGAATGTAAGCATTGTGTAGCAGCAGAATTAGGAACTGTAGCAGCACATGTGTATATTGGGAACTGTGCCAGCACACGTGTATGTTTGGAACTGTAACAGCACATGTATGTTAATAACTGTACTAGAACATCATTTTATGTGTATATTATCTAAACGTATAAGATGGGAGTTGGCAGCCTATCTATCAGTTATAGCAGGGTTATAGTAAGTTATAGTGTATCTGGCCCAGGGTTAAGGTGAGTTATAGTGTATCTGGCCAAGGGTTAAGGTGAGTTATAGGGTCTCTGGCCAGATATCACAAATGACATTATTATTTTACAGTGGTCTTATATAGCGCTGAACACCAGCCCAGGCGTACACCAGCCCAGGCGTACACCAGCCCAGGGCTGGTTTCAAAGTGCTTCACATAAAAATATTGGCGAAAAATGAACATGACTTTTAAAAAAATGACACGCCTACACTGTAAACTTACCTAAAGAAGCCAGGTATTCATGACATCCTGACACCCCCCACAGCTTGACACCCACCATGACATCAATGCCAGTTTCCTTGGCTGATAATTTGCTCATAATCTCTCGTAGCTGGAAAAAACAAACACAATTATTGTTTAAGACATTTAATGGCAAAAAAACAAAAAAAAAGAAAAGAAATTGACAAAATTTTGTGTGGGCATAGTAACTAATAAACCATCTTTGATTGATCGAAAAGGAAACCATTTAAATATTTGCATACCCGTTACTAGTTTATGATTTTTATCCAAGATATAATTTGAAAACGTTACTGTATTAAATGTAGCTTTTATAACATCACTTTTCTCCACTCAAAAATATTAAACTTCACACATTACTGGCTGCAGACAAAATTAAATCAGTCATGCCATCTTAGGTCTAATATTACAAATAACAGAATTATTTTTCCTGTGGTCAGGCACGGTGGTGTAGATATTTTATGTATAAATTTTATTGCAGCCAGAATTTAAAAAAATCATTCCAATAACTGAACACAATATTAAGATAGTTATTGTTTGTCCTTTGCATGCGCGGATGACCAAGGCTTCGACCTTAGCGGCAGAGCCTTGACATGAGCTGTATTTTGTTTAAAGTGAGGGAGGAGGGTCGCTCAATTCGCCAGCCTCACTCTTCCGTCCTTGCCCGTTTTATTGCAGAACTCACCACATGAATGAGAGCTTCCCCAACATCAAAGTTTGTGATGAATTTCGACATGGCGCCGACAGAGCTGGCGGGGAGACCTGGGGAAGCAACAGTGAAAATTTATGAGATGGTGCTGATGAACAAGCACCTGACCGGTTGGTCATGGCGGTTTTGAATTGTTTTATTTTTAGAAAAAAAAACCAAAAAAAAAAAAAAACAAAAAAAAAAAACCACGCCGCAACTTATTTTCAATCCTGAGATCATTAACACAGGCGTGAAAAATCGTCAGGTTGATGGAAAGCTGCGCAGGTTAAAAGTTATGACTGAAAACTTATATATATATACACATATATAAAACATCTTAGTATGAAGATGTTACAATAGAAACACTAGGAGCACAGACTTGACATTTACATTGTACAGTTCCATTTTACAGTTTGATGTTAAAGTTCAACGTTACAGTTCGATGTTACAGTTTTCTGTTAAAGTTCAACGTTACAGTTCGATGTTACAGTTTGATATTAAAGTTCAACGTTACAGTTCGATGTTACAGTTTGATGTTAAAGTTCAACGTTACAGTTTGATGTTAAAGTTCAACGTTACAGTTCGATTTTACAGATCAATGCGACGGTTGGTAGTCACAGTTAAAAGTTTACCTAAGAAAGCCTGTAGGCTTGCACTGGCCTGTGTCAGCCTCTCGTTGGGGTCCGCCTGCGGGAAGAACACCGCAGGCTGTAGACCTCCGGTCGAAGGTTCAAACCTGAACCCTACAGACTGCAGCAGGTCTTTCCACCCGGCCACTTGACCTACTTTGTTCTCTATGCTTTGCTGGGTGGTGAACATCGAGTTTTTGCAACCTTGCTGAATTCTCTGCAGGGACTTCTCCACCTGCATGAAAAGATGAATGTTGGCTGATCTAATATATATATATATATTTTTAACAATGAAGATGCAAAAAATAAAAATCCCAAAATAGCACACTTGAATGGATAGAAAGCAAAAAAAAACAAAATTCACATTATCATTAACTCATGTTGTGCAGTTGTTGGAAATGTGTTACCGGAATTTCAATACTGATTATTTTTGGTTCACACTGTAATTCACCTTCTTTGTTTAATTTGGCTTAATCCTGTTTTATCAACATTTGCAATTTTTAACCAACTTCCCCCCTGTCCTAGAAATTTTTAAAGGTTCATTATGTTTTTTAATCTCATATATATTTATCTTTCACACACATCAAAATTCGGCACAAATCAATCACCCAGAACTACCTGAAATGCTCATATCTCAAGTGACCATTGGACAGCTTCAACTTTTTATTAACTGGCCAATACTTTTTGAAATGCTCACATCTCAAGTGACCATTGGACAGTTTGAACTATTTATTAACTGGCCTACTTACCAGATGGAGTAAAACTTTTAATGTCTGCCGGCACGTGCTGTGAGCTTCCACTATCTGACCGAGGGCGTGACCCATCAGCGCGACCTTTGAACTCAGCGTAACATCCGAGCCCACCAGCACCCACCCTCCCCAGTTGGACGGATGAGAAAACTGGGCGGTGGTCTGAACCGTCTTGACGGCGAGCGACAAAGCCCTGGTGACCCTGACCCCATCCAGCAGGGCCGTGTACAAGGTCTTCATCAGCAGCTTTGAGGCCGGGTCGGGCACGGGCCACAGTGAAAACAGTACACACTGTGCACCCGCAGACAAGAGGGCCCTCGTCAGGCCCACGACGCCGTCTGTGTTGATTCGTCCCGCCCGATCATCCGTGTAGCCGGAGTTGAGAACCACAAGTTTGGCCCTGAGCTTCAGGTTAAGAATATCAGCCGCTGTGAGGAGATACTCAGACAAGGAAGGACCACCCATTGTGCCCATTTCACTAGAGCTGTCGTCGGAGTCCATCAGGGGAAAATGCTGGCTGGGGCTGGATAGGAATTCTCCAGGGGAGAGCACCACAGATGAAAGTTTCCAAGAAATGTGTGTGGCGAAATGAATGACCTCCACTTGTTCTATCTGATGCAGCACCGCCCCTTTGGTGGCCTCAGATCCGATCAGAGGTCGGCACGTCAGCAGTTCACCCAGGATCCTCGCTTCAAACTCAGCTCCGGGGATCTCATGCAGATGCCAGTGCTGGCAGATGGCGGGGGTCAGTCGGGGGTTGCCTACAACTAGGGCCCCTGAGGAGTAAACGAGAGGACGCCCCTTTAAGTCATTTTGTGCATTCTGCAATGCGCTGATGGATGGAACTATTATGGTTCTGTACTTCTCAAAGAGAAAACTCTCAGCTTGCTCTCTCCTCAGCATCAGGAAAGGAATAAGATACAGGTCTCCTTGTAGCACAAGGACAAGATCTGTTGGGTCGGTTATCCCTTGGCCACATCCATTTATAGACTCTGCCTCCATAGCCTCAGCAATGGCCGCCTCCATTGGTTCAATCAAAAACTGATACAAAAGGGCCAGAGGGGACTTGCCGCCTCCGAACTTTGACCTTGACCCCAGCCTCTTCCCAATGCTCCTCAGGCTTCCGCTGCCGAGGCTTGTCAAGCCCAGGCTGCGCATGCTGCCCCCGTAACTGTTCACCAGGGTGCTGGCCACGCTGGCGGCGCTCCCCAGGCTGTAGCTGCTGGCGTTGAGGTTGTGGCTGCGGTTGAGCATGGCCAGGAAGCCCGTCCGGTCGCTGTCTGCGTTCAGCTTGTCCCCGAGTTCTTCGAGCTGCAGTTGGAAGACGTCGTCCGCCTCGCTGTCCGTGTCGCTGTACTCCTGGCCTGAGAGGATAGCACTGGACCTGACGAGTCAGAAACAAACATCAGGGCGTTATGTCAATATTGTCATGTCCATGTATGGATATTATTTCAATAAGTTGTGAAAGTGACTTGATACTAGGGCCAACTTTTATTAATATGATTTAACAGCGACAACTTTTATTAACATGATTTAACAGCGACAACTTTTATTAACATGATTTAACAGCGCTTACTTTTATTAACATGATTTAACAGCGCTTACTTTTATTAACATGATTTAACAGCGCTTACTTTTATTAACATGATTTAACAGTGCTTACTTTTATTAACATGATTTAACAGCGCTTACTTTTATTAACATGATTTAACAGTGCTTACTTTTATTAACATGATTTAACAGCGCTTACTTTTATTAACATGATTTAACAGCGCTTACTTTTATTAACATGATTTAACAGCGCTTACTTTTATTAACATGATTTAACAGCGCTTACTTTTATTAACATGATTTAACAGCGCCAACTACATTTATTATGAAATATAACATCTAGCCTGTAGGATTCTGCAGGAGAAAACAGCTATAAAGTATATTTTTATCAGAAAATTGTTAATTTCCATTTTAATTGATGCTAGCAAATTCTTCCTGTTTAAACCGACCTGTGGCCGGTGGCAGTAGTTGTAATGTGGCTCTCAATTCCCATGCACTCCCTGACTTGACCAACGCACTGGTCCAGCAGCGACAGGCCAGACACACTGATCAGAGAATGGGTGTCGATCATCTCACTGTCCGAGTCCAGGTCAGAAAGCCTAGTGCAGTGGAATTTGACAATACCTGTCGAGGTCATCAATGTGTTACTTTTTTTTAGTTACCTTGATGTGCATTACTTTATATTTTTCGTAACAATCGTTTTTAACATTTTTTAATAGAAAAATTTAGGTAAAAAGGTCAAAATATCAACAAAACAAAAAATCATTACTGGCACCAATATCAAAATTGTTTTAGAAATCAACTACCTTATAAAAACATTTTATTTTATACAAATCGTCCACTGGGAATGCCTAAAAAATTAATTAAACATTTAAAAAAAATAGACATTAAGTTGACATTTTTCAACTGTGCATCATTTCACAAAGTAACAAAAAGCTTTAGGGATTAATTGTTATTAACACCAGATTGTTATAGCAGTTGAGATTAATGTATTAAATTTTACATGGAAACCTAAGGAACTAATAATAAATATTTTATAGTTAATAATAATTACATTTTAAGATATCTCGGTAAAATATTTTGAAATATCATTGTATAGACAGCAGTAGTAAGATGTGTTATTGTAGCTGTGATGCAGCTGCTGTTGAATATTTTTTCTGTGTGTAACACATGGACCAAAGAAAGTAATTTCACAACGCATATAGACGTTGCTATTCACCTTTCTTGGGGGTCAGCAGCCAGCTGTAGAGATAACCAGAAGCGATAGAGAAGCACAGGACTGTGCTGGCCTGATTGGCCACGGTGCTGGTGATCTGTTCGGTGGAGATGGGGGTCAAGTCCATGGTCGTGCCGTTGAAAAGCCCAGCTGAGCCCGCCTGTCGCTCAAGGAGGAGGTCGATGAAGGCTCGGGTGCAGGCTCTCTCGGCCACAACCAAGGCCTCATCATGGCGGTTCAGAGACACCAGAACTCTCTAGGGAGGGAGGAGGAAATATTGCACTGATAAAATAATGTCTTTTAAATCTTGAAAGGCTTGATAATTTTAAATTAAAAAAAACAAGTTAATATGTGGCAATAACAAGGCGCTGATATTCAATCTGTAGTTATTTCTAACAAGTTAATATGTGGCAATAACAAGGCGCTGATATTCAATCTGTAGTTATTTCTAATCCGCATCAATTCATCGCCTTCTTCTTTAGCAATTGTTCTATTAGTTAACTATATTCCCCCAAATTCACACCTGCAATGTTTGGTAACAAGCTGTTTGTAGGTCAAACAGCGACAACCTGTATTCGGAACTACATTGAGATTCACGCCGGATCATTTCAAACAGGTCAGCCGCTCGATGCAGTTGTTGCTGACACTGGTCAAGGTCACCCGCAGCCCACAGGGCCAGGCCGAGACGGTGGCGTATTTTGGCCTCGTCCTCTCTTCTCCGCAGCTGTTCAGCAATCTGCAAACCCTGCTGCAAGTACTGGACCGCCTGCGTGTAGTGGCCCAGAGCATGGTGGACTCTTCCTGTAAGGAGGAAGTAGACATTTGATATAGATTTTAGCTGTACCAGTCAATAGATTGAAATTATTTAAGGTGGTTAGATATGAGTTGTATGTGAACTGAGGAACTCATCTAGAAAATACATCAGCTTAAGAATTACACAAATTATCTTTAGAATTGAAAGTTAATTAATTAATCTTTAAAAAAACGTTAAAATTGAAAGAAATTTTAATTTAAACTTTACTTTGATTTTAAGTCATTCAGTATAAATATGTACTGTTCAAGTCCACTTCCAATGTGTTTAAATTCTTATTTAAAAATTTTATCAAGATGTTACCATCAACTTCAATATGTTTTTAACAGAATTGCACTAAGCGGATAAAATATTTAAATAACTTTTAAAACGTATGACTGGCAATGCAACACCCCTTCTCGCTTGCCCCCAACTTCCATGTGAAACAGGATAGAGCAAGTGTAGATTATTGAGCATGCAATAACAGGGAGACTACTGGTACCTGTACAAAACCTTTGGGTGACAAACTTTTGGGCAACATTTTCTTTGTTTAAAAAAAATAAAGTTAATAATTTCTTGGAAAAATCTCCATTTTATGCATGAGGTGGTTTAAAAACTTTTTTTTGATGGCACCATTAAATCTGATTAAAACTGCCTCTGACCTAGACTGCTGTATGCCAGGGTCTTGGCGACGCCATCATTCATCTGGGCCGCTATGCTCAGGTGTTGTTCTTGGTGGCGGACGGCCTCTTCGAGGTTGCCCAGAGATTCATGCGACAATCCAAGATTGCCGTAGGCTCGACCTGTTCAATCACAACCATCGACACATTAATTTGTGCTCTAGCTCGAAGTAAAAATAAATATAATTATGAAAAAAATAGATGAAGCCCACTGTTACAGTACAAATAACATTAATCAAAAAAGTATTTTATTATGTTAACAGGCTTCACATTAAATTAAGATAACTAATTCTTAATTCTACCACAATTTTAAAAGTAATACATGTGGCTGATTTAAATTAAACCAATATCTGCGTGCATTTACATTACTTTTTAAGTCCTAGTTCTAATAAATGATAGCAGGAGGATCAATCACAAAGAAATGTAATTTAAAATCTCAAGAACAGAGAGCTTTCTGAACAAATTACTTTGTGAATGAAAATTGATTTCATTTATTTATTTTAATGGTAGTTCATTGTAAATCTGTTGAAATGTTGAGAGACACTTCAAAATACAAGATTGAATCCAGAGAAAGAGATAACAAGTAGAAAAGACAAGAGGAACTACTTACATTGACATGCTGTGTTGTTAGTTTCTTCTGCTATCCTCAAGTCCATCTGGTGGTAGGTCAGTGCTGTGTCATACTCCCCCATCTGCTGGTACACGCCGCCCAATCCGCACGCAGCATCCCCTTGGCATGTCGCATCGCCCATCTCCTGAGCCAACGACAGCTGATGCTCCAAACATGCGATCGCCTGCTCTAGATTGCCCAGAAGGCTGTGCAGGCACCCGAGTTCTCCGTAAGCCGAGGCTTTGGCCGAGGAGCTGTTGGTCTGATGCGCAACAAAGAGGCGCTTTTCAAAACAGACCAAAGCCTGCTGCAGGTTTCCTATAGCTTTATGGGCATTGCCCAGGCCCCTGTAGGCCCTGTCTTGGTCAGTCAGGGAGTTGCTTTGCTGGGCGATGATCAAAAACTGCTCGTGCCATTTGACAGCTTCTTCGTAATCTCCCAAGGCTTCATAACAGTCTCCGAGGTTTCCGAAGGCTTTTCCTTTGTCTTGGAGAGTTGTTGGCCCATAGTTTTGTTCTAGCATGGCCAGCTGCTCCTCCAAGAGACCGATGGCTTCTTCGTACTGGCCCATGTTCATCCGTGTGATGCCCAGGTTACCACAAGCCTGTCCCTCGAGGCGGTTGTCTTTCAGCTCTCTGCTCCTGTCCAGCATCTCTTGGTAACATTTGAAGGCAGTCAAAAAATTGCCCAGCGACATGTGGACATTCCCGACGTTGCCGTGGGCCCGACACTCCCCTCGCAGGTCGCTAATCTCCTGCCGAATGTTCAACTCCTGTGTGTGGTATCCGAGGGATTTGTCGTACTGACCTAGCATTCTGTGCGCCGACCCCAAGGCGCCAAACGCCGTGGCCAACAAGTCGGGACTTTCACATTGTTTGGCCAGGTTCAACTGCTGCTGGTAGATTTTGATGGCCTCATTGATGTCTCCGACCTTCAGCATGAGGTCCCCAATATTGCCCAAGGCCCGCAGTTTTCCTGGTGTGTTCTCAAGCGCGTCCATTAGCCTCAAACATTTTTTCTGGCACTCCAAGGCATCATCGAATCTCAAAAGAGCTTTGTGGGCAAGGCCAAGGTTGCAGTAGGCCCTGGCAAGTGCAAGTCTATCCTTCCTTTCCCTTGCAAATGCCAAGTCCTGCTCGTAATACTTCACAGCCTCTGGATAATTTGCGAGATTAAAGTGCACATAACCCAAATTAAAACAAGCTTTGCTCTCCCCTTCTGAATCATTTAATTCGCTTGACAAGGCCAGGAACTGTTCATAAAATGACACTGCACTAGAATGATTCCCCCTGGCACAGTGGAAATTCCCCAAATTACACAAAGCCCTCGCTTCACTGGGAAGATCTTTGAGTTCTCGTGATATACTCAAGTGTAACAGATAATGGTGGAGGGCGTTTTCGGTTTTCCCAAGAGCCTGGTAAGCGACTGCCAGGTTCCCGTGGGTCGACCCCTCAGAGTGTCGGTCATTGACCTCTGACGAGATGGCCAGTTCTTGTTTGTGTTGCTTGACGGCCAGCTCGTGTTTGCCCAGGGCGCTGTAAGCATTTCCAATATTGCCATACGCCCTGCCCTGACTGGCGCGGTCCTGGAGAGCTTTAGCAATCTTCAGATGAACCTTATGGAGTTTTAACGCTGCCTCGTACTCTTCCAGCTGGTGGAAGATTATCCCCAGGTTTGAACACGCCCTCCCCTCGGCCACTTTGTCCTTGGTCTGGAGAGCGTTGTCCAGCTGTTTCTCGTGATAAGCCTTGGCGGCCAAAACATCCCCGCAGCACCTGGCGGCATGGCCCAGGCCGGCGTAGGCCCGGGCCTCCAGCGTCTTGTCCTTGTTCTGCTCGGCTATTCTAAGAACTTCCTTGTGAAACATCATGGCTCTGTGATAGTCCCTCTTGTAATGGTAGGCGCTCCCCAGGTTGCTGTAGGCCCTGGCTTCTTCAATGTTCGACTTCATGCTCCGGGCGATCTTGAGATGCTCCTGGTGGCACTCCACGGCGTTTTCAAAGTTTCCCATGGCCAGGTAAACGGCGCCGACGTTGCCGATTTCTCTGGCTTCAGCCAGGACTTCCCTGGACTGCTTTAAAAGCAGGACACACTGTTTGTGACTGGCCAAAGCATTGGGGTAGTCTCCTGGTGGATAACAGAATATACATAAACATTAGAAGATGGAGACTAGGATTGTATAAAGCTTATTATAGCATTCATATAGCAATGAAATTAACTTAGAAGTACTAATAACAGGCAGCAGAGTTATTTATTATTACTTGGGATATATATTAGGTATAAGAGATGTGAATGAGCATCAACTGATGTATGAGGTAAATATTTAATTTATCAAGAAGTTGATTTCATACTTGTTAATAAAAATAAATCGATTGTTTTTAAAATCAAGATTTACTGAATAAACATGATTTCATTATATTAAAAAACTGATTAAAAAAAAAAAAAAAAAAAAAGAAGTATGTTAAGTTATGAGTCCCCCATAGCTGTGTATGAGTATAAAGAGTTACCTATGGCTGTGTATGAAGAGTTGCCTTATTTCATACTTTTTAAAAAAAATAAATCGATTGTTTTTAAAATCAAGATTTACTGAATAAACAAGATTTCATTAAATTAAAAAACTGATTAAAAAAAAAAAAAAAAAAAAGAAGTATGTTAAGTTATGAGTCCCCCATAGCTGTGTATGAGTATAAAGAGTTACCTATGGCTGTGTATGAAGAGTTGCCTATGGCTGTGTATGAAGAGTTGCCTATGGCTGTGTATGAGTATAAAGAGTTACCTATGGCTGTGTATGAAGAGTTGCCTATGGCTGTGTATGAAGAGTTACATATGGTTGTGTATGAAGAGTTGCCTATGGCTGTGTATGAGTATAAAGAGTTACCTATGGCTGTGTATGAAGAGTTGCCTATGGCTGTGTATGAAGAGTTACATTTGGTTGTGTATGAAGAGTTGCCTATGGCTGTGTATGAGTATAAAGAGTTACCTATGGCTGTGTATGAAGAGTTGCCTATGGCTGTGTATGAGTATAAAGAGTTACCTATGGCTGTGTATGAAGAGTTGCCTATGGCTGTGTATGAAGAGTTACCTATGGCTGTGTATGAAGAGTTGCCTATGGCTGTGTATCAGTATAAAGAGTTACCTATGGTTGTGTATGAAGAGTTACCTATGGCTGTGTATGAAGAGTTACATATGGCTGTGTATGTATAAACAGTTACTTGTGGCTATGTATGCACTAAGAATTATCTAAGACTGTATATCAAGTGTCACCTATGGCTGTGTAAACGTGGCCAAGACTGCCCAGTGCACTGGCAGCCACCGAGCGGTTCTTCAACTTCATGGCCAGGACCAACTGGAACCGGTGGTTGGCCAGGGATTCCTTGTAGTGACCCTTGGTGAAGTAAGCTGACCCCAGGTTGCCGTACGCCCGACACTCCCCTTCTTGATCTCCTGGTTAAATGAAACATGGCAGCCTTATGTTATGCACCCAGCCAAAAATCAAGAACATATTGTGTTTAATGAAATAAACATACTTTAAAATGTAGCTTTTCATGGACCTTGCTCATGGACCTTGTTCAAAGACCTGAGCCCTCTAAAGTTTAGAACTGACATTTCAATGTTTTTACATTTCAGCAAGCAACATTAGTGCTGCACGAAATAAGCTCAGATTCCATTTTTAACGCTATGTTTATCTTGTGGCCGCCAAACACAAGTGGAATAACTAGATATGGCCTTACTTAGGTCTTGCCCACCATTATCTTATCTTGGGCAATGTTTGTGTTTTTATTCAATTAGCAACTAAGATAACTCTTGATTTATAATAATAAAACTAATTGTTTTTTTTTTTAAGCAGGGTTAAAAATAATAGCTTTATCAAATGCAGAGGCGTAAGCTTGAGTGTCTGGCACCCTTGGACAAGATTGATTTTAAAGGGCCCCTCCCCACCCACCCCCCTCCTTATTTCAACTCTCAAAACACATTAGTTTCATTGATAAAATAATATCAAAGCACATTTAGGCGCCACTAAATAGTCTGGCGCCAGGGGACATCTGCCCCCCTCCGCTAGGCCTCTGATCAAATGTAAACATGGAAACCAACTGAGAGTTCAATGACCAGGGCATTTTGTTAATTAAGAGAACCTACAATCAAACACTTTTGGATAAGCTCTTGGGATAAGCTCTAGTAATAAGCTCTGGGATTAGCTGTTCCAAGATAATTTTTTTTAGCTTGGAGACACTGAGACCAATCAGGAAAGAACTGAACACGTGTGATGAAAGGTTGTAACAGTGACAGGAAACAGACAAACTGACCTAAATTTTTGGCCACGGCCAGGTCTTGCTGCATGTGGTAGATGGCTTTGTCCAAGTTGCCCAGCCCCCATAATGCACTGCTCAGAGCCGAGAAGACAGATCCCCTAAGCTTCAAACTGCATGTGCCGACCTGGAAAAGGGGGGTGGGGGGGGGAGATGGGATGGATTAAGATATTTACAACATTGTTTGTAAATAAGTTACTCATTAAACACATTTAAACTATTCTTTACACATACAGTAACATAGATTATACAAATTACCAAAAATAAAAAACAAACCACCTGACAGATACAGGTACATACTACTGCTTGACCATGTTATATCGCTGTCAAATCCAAAACAAAAAAATGGCAGTGTGGCACTGCGATATTCAGAGGGTGCCCTTTTTTGTTCCGGTAGGGAGAAGGGGGAGTTGACGATGGCGATACCTGACCGATGGCGATACCTGACCGGATGCACTTCTGTAGGCCTGAGTAGCACTGCTCCCCACACACAATAATCAGTGACATGACCGACAATATCAGTGACATGATTACTACTTCATAGTTGTGATACCTGACTGGATGCACTTCAGTAGCAGTGCCCCCCCCAACAAACACACACACAATTTTCAATGACATTGCTAATGGCTACTGCAGTGATTGAAGGGCTCATACAACAGAAATGCAGGTACCATATGAAGGTTTGCTAGGCAGCCTACAAGAAAACTATACCAGATAAAGCAAGACTTGGCGTAACCATCCAGTCATTTCATTGGTTGGTCAACAAACCTTGAGAGCTGCTTCTAGAATGGTTACTGCTGCACTGAAATGACCAGCGGCTACCAACTCCTGGCCAATCACAGCGATGATTACAAATGGACTGGACTTGAGACCGAACTTCTCTAGTTGATGAAACGTCGGCTCCAATTTTTCTGAAATTAAAAAGCAAAAAAAAAATTGACGCTTCATTTTGTTGACATTTACTTTGGTAAACAAGTCGCGGACAAAATAGGGAAGTTTTATTGCGACGTGTTATAGCCAATTAAAATTACACCAAACACATTGCACGTAAATCGATGTCACGTAAATCAATGTCACGTAAATCAATGTCACGTAAATCAATGTCACGTAAATCAATGTCACGTAAATCAATGTCACGTAAATCAATGTCACGTAAATCGATGCCACGTACATCGATGTCATTATTTTGAACGGCATAACTTCCTTATAACCAACTAGAAAGTCTGCCGCGAGGGATTCTCATGTTCCTTTCAATAAATGGCACGCTCCCAACAAGCTTTGTTTCCGACACGGCGCTGTATACGATTAGTCTGCTCGTGGATGTTGTAAGGGTTAACTTGTCAAATGTCTTTCAACTGAACCCATGATACGCTGTCTAAGGGTTAACTTGTAAATTACTCTTCAATTGCACACATGATACGCTAAGGGTTAACTAGAAAATTACCTTTCAATTACGCTAAGAGTTAACTTGTAAATTACCTTTCAATGACACCCATGATACGCTGTCTAAGGCTGGATTTACCAGCAACATGTAATCATCCATTTTCGGAATTCTTCAGACCATTGCGTACCGAACAGACTTTGACAAGTCGACTCAGAGACATGAAACCGACCTCTCTTTGTCCAAGCACATTATTAATACCCAGGGATCATACCAGCGCCAGCATCAGAGAGACACGCACCTTCCTGTTCAACGCATCTGATAGAATTGGGGGTGTGCTACGTCAGATGTAGTGCACAAACAAGTGACCGTGCGATTGGCCACTGGTCCTACTACGACTTTCCAAATGTTCAGACTGTTTCCAAACAACCCCCCTCGCCCTTTTTCCGAGCAACTAAAGACTCGTGACCTGACCATCGAAAATGCCCATTTTCTCCAAAAGCGTTACTCTGCCAAAAGACCCCCCCCCCACCTCCTCCTTTCCACAACCCACAGATCCAACCCAACGTTCAAGGACCAAGTGTTGTGAGTAAAGGGTTGAAAGTAAACCACATCCGCACGTTCGAACTGCCGGTTCCCATGCCACTAGTTTGTCCACTTGTTACATTTAGGTCCTAATACAAAGTGGCTCAAACAGGAGTTCCCATTAGTGGCGGACCCAGACCCGTACGGTGAGACGAGAGGGGGGATGACTACAAATAAACCGGGCGTGAACCATTATAAGAATTTTCAGGTGTTATGAAAAAAAAAAAAAGTATAAATTTTTTCATGTGCTATAATATAGGAAAAAGAGGGTCTCCAGCCACAATATCCTCATATCTTCAGATCTGGTGTCAAAGTTAATATAGGAAAAAGAGGGTATCCAGCCACAATATCCTCATATCTTCAGATCTGGTGTCAAAGTTAATATAGGAAAAAGAGGGTATCCAGCCACAATATCCTCGTGTCTTCAGATCTGGTGTCAAAGTAGCCTTTTTTTTTGGGGGGGGGGGTCAGCTGGTCACATTGCTCTGACTCATGTCTCAATCAGATGTTTCAACATGGTCACAATTTGTCCGGTTTCGCCAAAAGGTCCGCACTACACTGGAGACTTTATCAACAGACAGTACCAGCGGTGGTCGTGATCGGATCGCCTCTGTCAACATTTCATGTGTTGTTGTTGTCTTGGCGAGGCAGTGATTGCTCACGTGACTTTCGATGAGTTTGGCGCAGGGGAACTATGGGGAAAACAAGATCTTTACTAAAACTAATTTAGTAGAGTTTTGTGGAATTGGGTTCTCGTTCCGGACATTCCAACGACCGAGATTTAGCCGGCTATTATACCCGTTGTACTAATAGTTTACTTTTAAACAATAGCCGAATATAAAAACAGAATAATTTTGGCCAAAAAGTTTGGGTGCCGTAGTATTAACATTAACAGTTAAATTACACTCATTGCCCTAGAACAGTGGTTCCCAACCGGTGCTCCGCGTAGCACTTTGGGCTCCCCGTGCCATTGCCGAGGGGGGGGGGTTCGCGGCTCCTCCAGGAAGCTCCTAAATTTGTAAGACATAGGGTAGGCCTAAAAGACGCCACCGCTCAAATAGCAATGGATTCTAAATAGGGTTCCGCGAGCAAGACAGGTTGAGCATCACCGCGCGAGAATAAATGAACTGGGGAAACCCCGTTAAAAGTGAATGAAATAGATTGTGAAATAGATTTTGGACTTACACATAAAAAAAACAACAACAACAACAAAAACATTTAACCATGAAACATACATTTGTTATAAGGTAATAATAAAAAAAAATGCTCCAATGAGATCATACTTTTTTGTCTGCAGAATTCAGTACCATTTAATGTCAGTGACATAATTTTATGGTTACAATTTACAAATGATTGCGACCCTTAAATGCATTGGAAACGTGTATCGCTGATCAAATACCGCCATAAGAAACTGAATCAAATGTTCTATTTTTAGTCCACACGTGACCAAGGAAAAAAAACAAAAACAAAACGACCACAAAAAAAAAAAAAATGTACGCACCTTTGAGTGGAGAGTTGAGGGCCGCCTCCACCAAGCCGTCCAATAGCTGAGTGTTCGCGGGTTCTTGGCCCAGCCCACAGGCAAAGGCAGCCAAGGCATCTCCATGACGACCAAGTTCTTGAAGTGCCACGCCCTCTCGCAGATACGCCTGAAATAGATGGAGGTTATGCGATTCGGTTAGAGCAGACCATATTTGCCTCGGTGGCGAAACTGGATTGTTTGGGATTCTGGGATCTCGGGAGGTTTGGGGGGGGGGGGAGATCATTTTTAACATGATAAGACATGGACCAGTGAGATGTCAATCTAAAATGTAAGGACATGGTCCTGTGAGAGGTCATTCCGAAAGATTAAAGCATGTTCCGGTGGGTGGTCATCTTTAGGACACAGTCCTGTGAAAGGTCACTCTAACATGACTGAGGTCCGTTTGATGAGCAAAAAGATGAAGATTCACACACCTTCTAAACTCACTTTGCCATTTTGTAATCTTCATGTGACTTTTGGAGATGTTTCCAGTGATTCATTATTTTAAGTAAAGCTGACCACGGTTGTGAATAGATCAATCGCATATCTAGATCGGTGTCCCGGAGAAAGATATGACCTATTTTTTCCCTCTCCATAGCCCTGCTGATCCATACGATCCATAACTACAACCAGCGGTCAGTGAACAGGTCACTATCGTACAGACTTGCAACTAAAACCCACCTGATGTCGTCATCCCCCCCCCCCCCTATGTCCTCCCCCCCCCCCCCCCCGATCACCTCCTAATATCCTATTCTCCCAAGTCGTCAGCATCCAATACATCAAACGTCCCCTACAATGTGGACTCGTGGTGTGCATTACACACTAACATTATACAGTCCGAGCGGCTGTCGAGTGTTTGACAAAGATGTTAGCAGAAACGGGGGAAATCGCCATTAGCATAGTTCTGTGACGTACAGATAAGATCAGGATGTACAGCCGGATAACGGAGCATCCAAAATCTATTTTTTCAACGAACTTGTATTTCAAAGGTTCCGCATCAGTTTTCACCAGCCCCACCCCTCCCCTCATAGCTTTAACTGTCCATAATAAAATAGTAGCACTTTAGCAACCCTACGTGTATGGTATTGAGAAGCACTGCAAGTCATTGGGCCATGGTTTAAAAAAATATAAAAAAATATTATAAATTTAAAAATGGATTTAAAAAAAAACTGATTTGAATAATTATTCAGTGATGGAAGATTCTCAACCTTTTTACAAGTGTTGCCTTGAACTGCAAGGTCATCAAACTTTGGTGTAGTCAATTGAAAAAAAAAAAAATCACGCCTGACGTGACGTCAAAAGATCTTTTTTAATTGAAACGAAAATGTTCTTATTATTTGAGTCGGATGACTCCCACTCTCAAAAGTAGAGCTGCTGAACTTCCTGCTGTAATGCATACGTTTTAGGTAGGGGTCTTGAATTATGTCGAGATTGTAAAAAAAAAAATATTAAAAAATTAAAAAAATCAAATAAAATATGAATGCTTCCTTTAGTTCAAAGGTCAACCAAACATTATCATTGGTTCACAATGACAAAATCACTGACTATTGACGACACTCGCAAACAACGTGACGTGGAGCCCTAAATGGCGCCAAACGGAAAACACTCCACATCCTCGAAAACGTTGTATGTGGAGATGCTATGACATCACGGCACTGGTCGGTAGATCCAATGGATGTCGGATATAGGTGTCCCCCACCCCAAAACAAAAAAAAAAACCAAATCGTTTAAATCGAATGAGAGCCGCGTACTGGGCGGGTGTCTTTGCTGCCATCCACGACCGTCTAGTTCAAATGGGGTGGCGAGAAAAGTTCTGTCTAGGACTCCGTCTATATATTACTAGCATTTTGTCTTGTTCAAATTTGAGCATCTCACAAAAAAAAAATAAATAAATAAAATAACGTCACCGATACAAAACTACACAGCAGCAGCTACACAGTTAAACTCTACGGCAAATATACGTTCACAAACTACCCAGCAGCAGCTACACAGTTAATCTCTACGGCAAATAGACGTTCACAAACAAATATCAAAACCGATGGCGGACACACGACCTACGGCATGACATCATAGATTTGTTGTAGATGCTGTGAAGTAAGTTGAATAGCCAAGATGTGGTTTCGCTACGCCAGTGACTTGAAGTTTCAAAACCACTGATCAACATCAGTAAGATATATTGTAGTCATAGCTATACTCGGAAAACCATGCACTGTAACATCGCGAACTCCTCTGAAACATAGGAGCCAGAATGATCAATTCATTGATCGTGGGCCCTCAAAATATGAAGAAGAAGAAGGAACATTACTGCCAGATTCGAAATCTACCTTAATTTTTTTTCCCACGTTGGGACCCGCTGAATGTCATTTTTCTGGTAGAAACTGCATTTGGGCACTTTATAACCTTTTTATTTTTTTTTTCCCCCCCCCCCCC